TGCCCGCCGCGCGGGGAGCGGCGGGAAGGACTCCTCATCCGTGGCCAGGGGTCTATAGGCGGCGAAGGGTTTCTCCTTCCCCAGGATAATTTCCAGCTGTCCCCACACGTTTTTCCTTTTTCTTTTAATTCCCTTCTTCACGGGGACTGGACCGGGGTTTGCCGCCGGGACGGGACCTGTCCCACTGCCCCACCCTGGGGGGGACGGGAGGAACTTTCCTCTCTGCGTCTGGGTTATCGAAAATCACCCCGAATCTGCCCTCTGCCTCCTATTTCCCCCTTGCCTCAAGGCAGGCACCTGCAAATTTGGATCTTGATTTTTTTTTTTTTTAAGTAGTCCTACAGCCTCTAATTTATGAGCACTCTAAGCTGGTTGTAGACTCCCAATGTTTGCTACATTTGTAATAAATAATGAGATACTGAGAAGCCAGAGTCTGAGAGTGTGCCTCTCCTGCAGTATTTCTGCTGTAATTGCATCTCCCAAAGGAAAATTAAATCTTTCCCCGTCTTCTTTCAATACACATCCCGGCACAGGGCGAAGGCAATCGGGTGGTGGGAGGTGATCGGGAAAAGGGTCTTGCTTGGAAAAGAGGTACTTTTTACAGGTCGGGACCACCTCTGGTCCGGCACGCCGGGGCCAAAGGACATCATATTAGGACGCTGCTGCCCCTGGGTGTTTATTCCTCATGCAGGACACAAGGTAAACCGCAACCCAGCATTTACAGCGAGATGCCAGCCCTAGTAGGTGCTTGGCTCAGAAATCTCTAGGTAGAAAGAGAAAAGAGGAGGGTTACAGGGCCTCTCCTTTTCCTCCTTTTCCTTTTCCTTTTCCTTTTCCTTTTCCTTCTCTTTCTCCTTCTCCTTCTCCTCCTCCTCCTCCTCCTTTTTCTAATTTTCTTTTCTCTTGTCTCCTCTCCTCTTTTCTCTCCTTGCCTTTTCTCTCCTCTTTTCTTCTTCCCCTTTCCTTTCCTTTCCTTTCCTTTCCTTTCCTTTCCTTTCCTTTCCTTTCCTTTCCTTTCCTTTCCTTTCCTTTCCTTTCCTTTCCTTTCCTTTCCTTTCCTTTCCTTTCCTTTCCTTTCCTTTCCTTTCCTTTCCTTTCCTTTCCTTTCCTTTCCTTTCCTTTCCTTTCCTTTCCTTTCCTTTCCTTTCCTTTCCTTTCCTTTCCTTTCCTTTCCTTTCCTTTCCTTTCCTTTCCTTTCCTTTCCTTTCCTTTCCTTTCCTTTCCTTTCCTTTCCTTTCCTTTCCTTTCCTTTCCTTTCCTTTCCTTTCCTTTCCTTTCCTTTCCTTTCCTTTCCTTTTCCTCTCCCCTTCCCATTTCATGTCCTTCGTTTTCTGATTTTCGCGGAGTAAAATCAGAGAAACACTATTCCGAACATATTTATGTCTAAGGACCTTATCTCGTTTCTAAATATTAATTTTTCCCTTTTTTTGTTTTGTTTTGGTTTGTTTTTTTTCGGCGGGGGGAGTTCGTGCCGGAAAACAGCAACGGGGAGACGGGATAATAAAAGTCCTGTGCAGCCGGACTTTTTTTTTCCCCAGATGTATCGAAAATGCCCGTTTCTACCTCCCTGCCCGGGACGCGAGACCCCGAGGCGGGGCGGGCGAGGCCGGGGGTGGGGC